AGCATGCTGTCAGTAGTTGAGGCAAGGACAGTTTCTTGCCCAAATGGCTAGCTTTGCCATATTGAAAGCAAACTCCATATGGAGTTTCTTCAATGCTCATCATCCTTTACGAAGTAAATTGATATTGCCAGGAGTAGACATGTTTCACTCTCATGAAAAGCCTTATGTTATTAAAACATTATAAACGTCATATTCTGTAGGTCTTTGAAGTGTTTGACCATATATCTATTTAAAATACATGTCTATTTAACCTTGAAAACAAGTATAGGGGCTGGAGAGATGGGTCAGAGGTTAAGAGCACTGGATGCTCTTCCAGAGGTCCTGAGTTCAATTCCCAGCAACCACATGGTGGCTCACAACCATCTGTTATGAGATCTGGTGCCCTCTTCTGGTGTTTAGATATACATGGAAGCAGAATGTTGTATACATAATAAATAAATAAAATTAAAAAAAGAAAACAAGTATAACACTACTACAAGTTCGATTGTTACAGATAACTCACTACTTACCTGCACTTATTTATTATCCTAAATAATGTTCAAGCACTGAAACTTTACATTTTAAATGAGCTTCATAGGTACAATGTCTTAAACAAGAGTAAAAACACATATACACAATATAACAAAGTAACCTTAAATTTGTAGTCCTGGGAGAGCTAGCTATATCATTTGTTCTCCAGTCTCTGTGATGGGAAAGTGCAGGGCTTATCTGAAGTCCTGGCTGGAGCAGTGCATGAGGCTGGACCATCTTAGCTAGCAGCCTTGAAATTGTGCTGGATACAGAATTTTGAGGTAGCATTTTCATAGCATGGATCATCTGGGATACTTGTCTTTATTGATATCTGATTCTTTTCTTTCTGAAAACACACAAACTTTTAAAGGTAACATATAGCCAGATGGTGGTGGTGCACAGCTTTAATCCAAGCACTTGGGAGGCAGAGGCAGGCAGATCTATGTGAGTATGAAGTCAACCTGTTTTATAGAGCCAGGACAGGCTCCAAATCTACACAGAGAAACCCTGTCTTGAGAAACCAAAACAATTATATGTAGATATAGATATATCATATTTATCTGCATTATTGCAAGTATGGAATATGTAGTGTGTACAAGTCAGTTAGAGATGATATTTTGCTTTATGTTTGAGCAGGGAAAAGGCATTTGATTTTTGTTTTTTTTAAATATTTGTTTATTTTATGTATATGGAGGCTTTGTTTTCATCCATACAAGAAAAGGGCACAAGATTTCATGATAGATGGTTGTGAGCCACCATGTGATTGCTGGGAATTGAACTCAGGACCTCTGGAAGAGCAGCCGGTGCTCTTCACAGCTGAGCCATTTCTCCAGCCCCCTACCACTTTTTTGTTTGGTTTTGCTTCTCGAGACAGAGTTTCTCTGTGGCTTTGGAGGCTGTCCTGGAACTAGCTCTTATAGACCAGGAAACTCACAGAGATCCGCCTGCCTCTGCCTCCCGAGTGCTGGGACTAAAGGCATGCGCCACTGCCACCTGGCAGAAAAGGCATTTGATAACCTGCTAAGTTTGTTTTGACTGTATAACCAAACTCTAATATGAATCTCTATCTATGCTTATGAAATGATGCATGTAATAATAATAAGTTGTGAGAACTCTGTAGCTAACAAGATTAATCACGTCTCATCCAGTCTCAGAGCTGTTCCCATGTCAAAGGATCAGTTTATACATCTCCTGTCTTGTAGATTTTCTTTTGTGCCTTTTTTATGTTTGTAGCCCAAGATCCTCAGGAGGTCTCCCCAGTCAAATCTAATCACAATTAACTTTAAAGGAATTCATAGCTCTCATTTCCTGTGGAAACAAAAGCACAACCTCCCCCTCCAAGGCAACACATTTTTCCACTTCCATTCCGGAGCCAAGACATCTCTAAAGTATTTAGCTGTTTTAATTCAGCAGTCCCTTCCATAGTACAATGTCTCTCAGAAGCTGCCGTTTGCTCATCAGCATTCAAAAAATTCAGTGTCAACAAAGGACCACACACGATCCAGATGCCCTGTGTATTTCCCATCCTTATGTGGCTTATTTCTTTTTATATTAATTTACTCTCTCCTACCCAGGGCTTTCTCTGTCTGGAAGTCCCGCCTATACCTCCTATCTAGCTATTGGCCATTTGGCTTTTTAATTAAACCAATCACAGTGACATTTCTTTATACAGTGTAATCAAATGTCTGGCAACAGGACACATTAGATGAAGGGATGAAGGGTGCAATCAACTCTTCTTTGAGGACTATAGTGGTCTGATGGGATGAAGATGAAGTCAATTTTGTGCTTAGGGCTGTATTCATCTGATAGTTTGACTGTGGTTGGAAGATGACTCACGAAGACATTGCCCACTGTGGGTGCCTCAAACCCATTCTGACCTTTAGCTGGAGACCTATGCTCCTGGCCACCCCCCCACCCGACCCCACCCGCATCATCCTCAACCTCCACTGACCACACCCTCACGGGCGTGGCCC